AATACTTACCTTCCGAGGTGTTACCCTTGTGTGGATTAGTTGTGCCCAGCTTCTTTTAGTCGGAAAAAATGAAAAATTTAACCGCATTTCTTTAATGGTACAACTATTTTTGTACTAAGAAATGAAAACAGTACCATTTGTCGGAAAATTTTCACCGAAATTTCCACACAATTAGTAAGCATTCAATTTTATCCTTCCGCAATTAGACTTTGCTACTTGCTTGTTGTCGCCAATCCAAAGCAAAGTAAAAAAAAACTCACGGAAATACACAATGACATACAGCTACCACCTCCGCTAAGTACATTTGCTTGTATTCCAATTAAAATAGAATGCCAGATAAAATAAAACTGCCTGATATACTTGAAAGAACGCACGTGTAAAATTTTCAGTTCACAAAGCTAAGACAAGATCAAACGAAAAGTCAGGGTGATCCTCCGACAAGCCGCAAAAAGTGTTGTTAATTAAGAACAGGATATGCTTCTTGCAAAATACACAACGAGGGTGAAATTCATAGTTATTTTACCTGCAAGTGCCTCTTTGGGTGTGGTTCTTCACAGTATTCACATTCTATGATCCTCCATTCGCACGTGTCTATCACGTGTTGTTCGAGGTCTTTTCTTTTCACGGTCACATGGCAGTTTTCGCTGGTACAAGTGACAATTTTGAATGGACAAGCTTCCAAGTGAGCCTTTTAAAATAATAACAAATTATGAGAATTAAGAGAGAAGAGTGGGTAGGAATTGAACTTTTGTTACGAGCAAATGTGGACGCGGTTGCATGTGTAGTGGTTATTTCATTGACTTCTAGTATACCACGGTTATAGTCCCTCCGCCTGGATGACAGCATTAAAAGATTTACTTTCAGTCATTTGGAAGTGCAGCACATATATACTTAGGACTGAGGGTAAAGGTGGATGAAAGTGTCTGGGTGCGCTCGACTTATGAATCACAAGAACTGAATCCATTGCACATTGAATATAATTTTGATTTTTTACCTCCTTGTTTCTGAGCTCACCAGCCCATGAACAACCGTAACTTGGGCATTTGATCGCCATTGACAAAATTTTCCTTCCTGTTGCGTTGTCAGGAAATACATCCTATCGTATAATTAGAAACAAAATTAAACGCAGTGCTGAAGATCAATCTACTATGAATCTTTAAGTGTTGTAATAGAAAGAAATGATGGTAAACTGTGGAACACGTGTTAACACAGGTTTAAACAATGCCCTCATAAGTGACTCTTTGACTCAAAGGACATTTTTAAAAGAATTCTTTTGCCAATGCTTGATTAGAACTTAAAGTCAGGCTAGCATATTCTGACACATTCATCAAATGAGAGGGGAAGTTATTTTTCCCATTACAATGTATGTCAAATGACATTAAAAAGATTGTTTCACGAAAGAATTCATAATCTTTAGACTGAATAAACAAAATGTATTTGAGAATATTTTGATTGACAGTGATAGCGGAGCTCTCGCTCTCAGTGTCGTATGTTAGAATAGGGGAGATCATAGTATCAAATATTTTACAACTAAAAGACCCTTATGTTGATGATGATGATGATGATGATGATAGTTATGATGATGATGGAAGATGACGATGGTGATATTGGTGATGATGATGATGATGATGATTATTCGAAAATGGACTTACTTCGAATTGCTTAAATGCTTGTGAAGAAAATCTCACATTTTCGTGAATAAAAAGATGTCAATGCGTGGATGTGACTGTCTTGTTCTAAAGTGTTCTCAAAACATTTTTGAACACTTGTTTCATCACTTGGTGGTAGCTCGTTTCACGATACAGTCGACATTAAAGAGGTTAAGTATCACGTTTACGCCAAACGGCAAACGCGAATTTGTACCACGTGACCAAGTGTCTCCTTTACTTGTCGTTTACTGTCTACTGTACTTTATTTCTACACCTGCATCAGTAGTTTCATGCAATTTTTCATCCATAAGAATTGTTTTGAGCTGTATTTTTCTGCTCATTTTCTATTTTGAGAAACTCTCAACTTGAATCTGACGTTTACTGTTTGCTTAAACTCTCTAATTTCACCCTGTATGCTTCATTTGGCCATAGTTAATAGAGGGAATGGTTATGAAACCCGACAAAGTTCTTTGTTGTATGTTTTTGTTCTCTTTTTTGGCCTTGACCCTGCACAAAACACAATAGTTGTTTACTCCGTACTGAGGAACTAACCAATTGCATAACGTATGAACGCAAAACAAAAGATTGTGCAGGGTCGTGGACCTTCTAACATAAATCTTGGCATCTTTGTTTGCTCCTTTGATGTTTGCCGGGCTTCATAACCAGTCACCTCCATTAACTATGATTTGGCATGCAAGCTTTAAGTGAAAAAATAGCGGACAGGACACAGAGGTTACAAGGTAAATGAAAGTGATTTACCCGGTCTCGGTCCAGGCCTTTCCTATCTGCAGGACAAGTGTAAGGCTGGTTCTGAGCTTCTTGTCTGTTTTAATTATCAGAGTGAATAGATAAACAAATGAATAGATCACAAGATACTAAACATACAAATTACATGTTAAAACGAGCGCGGACAATGATCTGTACTAGAAGCTGTGTTAAAAAATGTTAAATGTGTCTAAAGGCAATTAAATTCAAATTTGGTTAAAACTCAAGTTCTGTTCCAGTCACCGGAAGTGTCCCCGTTTACATGCATTAAAGGAGCCGATTACTTGAGCTCACGTAGCCTGTACACAGACGTTGTTTTAGTTTTCTTTTCGTTCTTTTCGAGCACCCATACCCCTTGTACTGGCGGTCAAAAATTCCCCCGCGATTTATTTTTTATCACGCGCTCGACTGACTTTGAAGAGAAGTAAAAGATCGAGAGGGTCTGTGAAAAGGCCAGAGCTCACGTATAAAAGGCGAATCACATCGACACAAAGAAATATGTAGAGTAATCGACATTTACACATGAGGTTCGCCCAGAGGTTCTCAGCCTAGCTTTTTCCCGAAGGTCTACAACGAACAACTCGAGGTTTCTGTCTTATTCTACAAAATAGAATACCCGTAAAGTTTCCATAGTAGCGACCCTCGTTACTTTCGAAATAAGCAGCCTTTGGGGCTCGTTATACTTTCGGGGTGTCGTTACTCTCGGGGAGTCGTTATTTTCGGGGACCAAAAACCAACATCAACATCGATGGTCTACCGGACTACCGAAAGGGTGAATCAGCCGATGTAGAGGAAATCGAATTTTTCTCTGATTCAAGGGCGAGGAAAGCTTAACTCAGTGCTTTTAGTCCATGACAAAAAAATGCGTTTTATTTATACAGGGGCACCCGACGAGAATATAGTTCAGAACCACTTAAACATAGAATTATTAAACGTATTTTATTATTTAAACAGTAGATATGGGCATACTTTTATCTCCTAAAAATTTTTTATCTGTTCGGATATCCTAGCGAAAAGTCTAGCGATCCGAAAATTATAGGGATCAAAACTTACCTTTTCGAAAATTTCAGCCAGAAAAAAGCCTCCCGAAAATTCTAGGTGACCTTTTTAGGTTAAAAATCCGTTAAAAATAGGCAATTATACCATTTTTTAGATGTTCGAAAATCCTAAGAGAGGCAGGCAAGCAAGAAATTTTACAACAAATGTTCCGAAAATTCTAGATCTCAAATCGTCTTCCGAACAGATGTTTTTCCGAAAATTGTCGTTGGGTGCCCCTGATATATAGTCAGGAGTCCTTCGTGTGATGGGCTCCTGTTACGGTGCAGTACTAGTACAGAAGTTTCAGTTTAACTTAAAGAAACGTTCCTGTTCTTGATATGAACTTTATATCAGTGTAGTTAGTTTTTACATTGTGCAATCTGTGAACTGACGTCAACGACGAATGATCGTTTCAGGCATGCCATGTTTTTCTTGTTGTAAAGTGCCTTATCGTGATAAATTTTTGTAAATGCACGAAGATATTAGTTTTGTACATTAAAAATTTGACTATGGATTGTTGCTGGATAGATTCGGTATGTTTATAATTGAAAAAATTAGTCTCGATGCTTTTTGAAGACTCGCTACTTTCGTGGAGGGGGGGGGGGGAGGTCGCCACTTTGGGGACTCAACATTTTCGGGATTAATTAGAAGTCAGAAACTTTACTTTGGGGGAATCGCTACTATGGGAACTTTACGGTAATGCAGCTAGTCCCTCACAATACCTCTTTCTACCAATAATGGCTTACTTTCAACGACTTTCAACGACTTGCAATAGGCATTTCCGAGAAGAGAATCCATAGTAGCGTAAAATGCATTTTAAAAATTTAAAACTGAATTTTATCCTCTGTTTAGTGGAAGGCCAGTAGCCCCCACGCGGACGTCTTTATTTCCTTTGATGTTCACTTTGTTTCAAAGAAAATAGGAGATGTCTATTCGCAGTCTGGAAGGCCAGGTTACGCAAGAGCAACCATTTTTTATGCATTGATCACGTGAAACCAGATTGTCCGCATTCCTGAACAGATCATTGGCACCGAACAATGGCTACTCATCTCTAAACAGAGGAAACAAATTAATATCTTCAAAAGTTGATTAATAGGAAACGAGCCGAATTGACTACTATGCCAATAACATATCTGGAGTGGCTACTAAACAGAGCGAACGATTTTTCAGCTTCATTTCTCTTCTGTTGAAAAACTAAAATTAATAGACATGGCTTTCGTACAAAGTAATCGTTTAAGTTGAGGTGACTGTCGTTTGCCTTGGTTTTAAGGACTGAATTTCTGTAGTGATATTATGTACGTACTGTCGCGTTTCTCACTGAAACACGGTACAGGAGTTTGTACTCCACTTTAAGCAGGCATGCAAGTTTGTGGATCAAAGCTATTTCAACACCATTCAACAGTTTTCAGTCGATATTCATTCATTTAGCCGTACCTTCTCAAATGTTCCTCAGGGCATGCACTGCAAAATCTGTGACCGCATCTCGTAAGAACAGGCTCCCTTAGCGGCAAATGACAAATTAAGCAAAGAAAATCATCGTCGACTTCATACACAAACTCCTCGTCATAACCTGAAGGTAACTGAGTGTTGCGTGGCGCTTCCGCCATGTTGCAAAAATGCTCCAGTAGGCTATTGCAAAAGCGAAACCCTCAGGGTCATACGTTTTATGTAAAGTACAATCTCGCATGTTTAATTAGCAATTGTAAGTCTCTCAACCGAGAGAGATCATTCAAAATCATTTTGTGGAGGTGGGGTGGGTGGACAAAGGAACGTAAAAAAGAGAACGAACACAGGAACACCAGGATATGGTGCAAAGTGGGGGTAAATCAAAAAATGTTTATTAGATATGTGTTGCTTTTAAAGGACCAAAATTATGTGCTTTACATCTTTCAAGGACCATCTTAATCCTAGGAAGTGAAAACAATCGGTGAACGTGAAAAACTTTGAAGTGGTGAACTGAGCAATATGCGCTATTTTTACTCTTTGTCACTGCAAAAATTTGGCCGTCGGGGCGCTGAACTGATTTTCCTCCCGAAAAAAATGTGATTTTCAATTATTTCCAAAAACTAATGCGGTTTCAGCTACTTTTGGACCAAGATAAATTCATGGGCAAAGTTTAAAGAAAATTGATTTTCCGACCCGAAACGCAGTCGACCGGTTTTAGGGAGACTCTCTCTTAAAACTTATTTGCCCCGCGTAAGGGAATACAGATTTCAGAAGCCGGGAAATTTTTGCTTCTGGAATCCACAATGCTGGAATTTTCACTTGTGGACTCCAGAATCTTGGGCTTTGGAATCTGGAACACAGCTCAAGGAATCCGGAATCCACTGCGTGAAATCCAGAATCTAAGGCTTTTCTGGATTCCCTTAAACCGCCAATGTAACAGCAACATAAAAAGGTTAAGACGGACTCCATCACAAAATTGAGTAAACTAATTTTAATTTTCAGTGGACAAACACCTTGTACCAGAATAATTTAAACAATATCGCATTCTTTTTTACATTTTTCAAGGGCTATAGATGTAATTAGTTGTCCGTAATAACACCAAAGACTATTTCTCTTGGGAGCCCGAGTAAACAAAAGTCAAATTTCACAAGAATTGTGAAAACACATGTAAAATTCTGAACATTTCATGATTGTTTAAGTTTTCATTTTGTGAAATATGACATTTATTTTCTCACCATTGACCTTGTCACTTTCTTTATGTGTAGCTACAATCTTAACGTAGAAAAAACTGTTTTAATACAGAGGTCCACGCAACACGTAAATAAAACTGACTGGTTCCTCTTGCCGGTTCTCTAATTAAAGAGATGCTGTAGCCAGACGTCACTTGATGTGTAAAATCAAACAAAACGGAATGCAAGTCTGGCACTACGGCAAAGGGCTGATTTGTTACAGGGTTGAATATTTCGGCTAAAAAAATTAACCTTCCTCGGGGCTTGAGCTATACCGACATAAAATATTTTTAAAGGCTCCTAAAATTTAAATTTAAAATTACATAAGTGATTAATAATTAACTACAATTATAAATACTAGGGAGAATAATATACAGGTAAATGATTAACGTAGATGTAGTCACCAGCCTCAGGGGATAATAATCGATAATATGAACACTTCGATACTGTGAGCTCCAACTCATAAGTTACAAGGCAAAGTCTGTACGACTGTCAAATCAACAAATGGAAACCGTCTACGGTATGTGAAGGAACTACTTTTCTTCTTATAGGCGGCAATTCCTGAATGCCTGGCTACTTTATTTTCTTGTTCTTGACTGGTCGCGCGGAACTTACTAAAAAACCTTTTCGCTGGCAAAATACATGTAGTAACTGATAAGTACATAGAGAATTCGAAAAGAAAATTTTTTCGAGCCAATAAATCGGGAAATGCTAGCAAGCTCTTGGTTGGCGTCCGCACCCCTATACGCGCCCCATTTTTCACGCGGTGTTTGACTCCGTAACCGCACGGAAACCAGGGTCAACCAACGAGAATATAGTTCAAAACCACTTAAACATAGCATTGTTAAACGTATTTTAGCAGTATTTAAACGGTAGATATAGGCATACTTTTATTCCCTTAAAAATTTTTCATCTGTTCGGATTTCCTAGCTGAAAGTCTAGTGATCCCAAAATTATAGGGATAAAAACTTACCTTTTCGAAAATTTCAGCCAGAAAAAAGGCTCCCGAAAACTCTACGTGACCCTTTTAGGGTGAAAATCCGTTAAAAATGGGCAATTATACCATTTTTTAGATGTTCGAAAATCCTAGGAGAGGCAGGCAAGCAAGAAATTTTACAACAAATGTTCCGAAAATTCTAGATCTTAAATCGTCTTCCGAACAGATATTTTCCGAAAATTGACATCGGGTGCCCCTGGGAAACGCTTGCTACGCAGGCTATGTGTTGACGTACTTATGCAGTTGACGCGCGACGCCGACCATAAAAAAAATGACACGTACGTCTAGTGGAGTGCGGCGCGAAGTAAGACAGCGAGGAGAAAAATAAGGAGGAAAACAGGAAGAGAGAGAGAGGAGATGAGAGGTTCCATCGCTGTCATCACCTACCCTACCCCCTTGCTATCATCCCCTACGCTACCCCATCGCTTTTTTTTTCAGCGCCGTCCACAGGATCTGAACACGCCTGGAACAGACAACGCCCAGGTGTTTATTTAAAACTGAGGGAAACAACCAGAGAGAGTTTTAGAATTGACAAAACATTTTTTAGCTTTCTTAAACTTGATATTTAAATTATTTATTACCTTAGTATTCTAGTTTTTTTACAATTTTTAGAATTTTAGTAGTTCAGACAGGGCCAGTGCAGTGCGACTGTAATTATGCACCCTATTCAGAAATTAAAGTGTTTGTTTGTTTGAATGGGTCTAATTCGCAGGAGGGTTTCCTAGGTTTCGTGTCAACAAGCTAAATAATTCTTTTGCCAATTCTGAAATAACCTGACACACATTTAGGCAAAGATACTTGTAACTTGTTCAAAGCAGACGAAACTGTTCTTCTGTGTCGACAGTGGTGTAGTGAAATGAAACAGTCAGTTTCATTTTGTTATCCATCCTATTTATCAAAAATTGAGAGACAATTATGACAGCGTATGTTGAATGGTCAACTGACCGCTGAAAACAGGTTGACAGTTAAATACAGGTTCAATCAACCTAAAGGTTTCCTCTTTTTGTTCAAAAAGAAAAGAAAAAAGACACCATTCAACGCCACACGCACAATGCACACACTCAATGTAACCAGTGCAATAAGTATGTGTAATCAAATGGTATACTCGTGAAATGAGGGAATAATTTCACGCGCGTTTTGTCCAAATCCTAACAATTTCCCGAGCCTTAGGCTCGGGAAATTATTAGGATTTGGACAAAACGTGCGTGAAATTATTCCCTCATTTCACGAGTATACCATTTGATTACCTATTAATATCATGGGTGACGAATTACGTTAAAATCTTGGAGTTTTGACATATTTATCCTGGATCGTATCGATCGAGAACTCCACTCTCTCAAATGTTTAGACCTTAGATTTGGCTTGTAAAGTTCAGAATTTTTCAGACTTTTTCGGAAAAATACCTGTTAGAATTGTTCTTGATGTTCTCTTGTGTGTTCAAGTTTTCTAAAGCTTCTTTTTGTGCCCTGACATCTTCATTTACGGCATTTTAAAACTTCGTCGCCATCTTGACACTGAGACGTACGGAAGGGTTGCCATGGCAATTTTGTAATTTCACATGTGAAATTACAAATTAACGCTGAAATTTCGCGCCAAAATTAAGGAGTAATTTGACTTTATGTATTTTCTCGATTGGTCGAGAGGGTGGGAGCTCCTGACTCAAAACAAATATGGTTACAAATTAAGCTTTAAATCAGTTCAGTTAAATGAGTTCTCAGTTCTCAGTATACGCAGAGAACACTCAAGAGAGCCGTTTACTGTGTGAAACGTGAATAACCCCGTTTCTTTAGAAAGGTCTCCAATCAATTTCTGCTGTGAATAGTAAATCAACTGTTTGAATGATTCAGTTGAAAAGAAACGGAACAAGGGGATAACTAGTCATCATGATCAGGATCCACATCGACCTGAAAAAACAGAGTGTCATTTACAATGTATCGCCTTGATTTAAGTGTCTCCTGAGTTATCAAAAACGGTAGCTCACTTTCAACTTCCTTCATGTTTTTTCCTGGTCTTTCTGAGAATATCGTGTCATCAAAGCATGTCAGTTTTCTTGGGCTTAAATAATAAATATAGTTTTGCCTTTTTTTGAGATCCTCATTTTGATCGATTATTGTGAACGTTATTTTCCTGCTGAAAGGCCAGGGTAATATGTCATCATATTCACCTTCCATTAAAACAATACCGAAACGGATCAAGAGTTGCGGATCATTAGGTGGGTATTCCAAAAAGCAAGGACTGGCAAACACTTTTAATTTGTAGCCATAAAGTCCAGTGTAGAATGGATCACTTTCTATCTTTCCCGCCTTTAATACTTGCCTCCAACGTTCACTGAGCGATGTAATCTTCCAAATATAACTTTTTTTGCCATCATCTTTAACGGCTAACAAGCTAAATTTGGCTTGTGTTTCTGCTAACTGAACTCGTGTGTCATTCAACAAAACTCGTGTTTCATCCAAATCAACTCCTGTTTCATCTAACTGAACTCGTGTCTCATCCAACTGAACTCGTGTTTCATCTAATTGAACTCTTTGCTCATTCAACTGAACCTGTGTGTTGTTAAGTTTAACACAGGCAAATTCAAGATGCTCTCGCATGGCTGACTCAAGATGCGAATCCGCGTTTTTGCGATGAAACTGAAAAAACAAGACAAATCATCTTAGAAAATAGATTATAAATTTTGGAGTCTTATGGCATATAAATTTTTGTTTTTGGTTAGTAATTGGCTTAAGTGCTCAGGGTGGGTGGAGATCAGTAATCAGTGGTGAAAGAACTAAAAGACGGCTCCTGATAACAAATAAACGGTCGGAAGTGAAATCTTTAGCAGATCGTTGTTACTCAATTTTAAATCTGTGATATATTCATTAATTTCATTATTGTATTTAATGATCAACAACAAACCTTTTCAATGCATCCCATTTGAGCATATGGACAGGAGACTAAGGACAAAGGACAGTCGTTATCAATGTGATTTGGAATCTAAAAGAAAATGATAAAATTAAATCAGCGAACTGACTCCCTCAAGACCCAGTGCATAGCATGGCCTTTTCTGATCAAATACTCGTCTTCGAGAAAAACGGTTTCAAGCACTGGCGGAAAGGGCTCTTCTCGTCGCGTTTTCTCTCGACCCGACTGACTGCCCCTCAGGACAGAAGAAAAGGGTTCTAAAGTTCAGGTTCCTATTCCCTATCAAGCCTACATTTTCTACATTTATCCCAGTATTTTTTTGCAGTCACTGCGGTCATGTACATGTAATCGGCACAACGCCTCAAGGGCCACGACCATATCGATTTGTTTCCGCCGTAGCTCACATATAATTTGTAATATTTATTTACTCGCGTTGAGGTTTTGGTTGTCTATTTAAAAGGGAAATCTATTCAAACTTTTTAAAACAAGCAATTGCCAAGACAAACAACCGACAGCCTTACCCGCAAGGTTGAAACCGTGGGATGAATTGATACTCCGATCCTTGATGACGTCACTTAAACTACAATGAAATTCATTTACCATTTCTCTAGAAATTATATCTCCACATTTATTAGGGCAAGGAAGTAGAATCTTACTGCACTTTTCCAAGTGATCCTGAAAAAACACAAATATATAACTTATTCTTTTTCAGTGAAAGGTTTCAACCCAGGAGTCGTTTCATAACAAGGTTGAGTATGATCGTCCGGGTGAACGTAGTCCAGAATAGGACCGTTGTCAGTTGTTCCTATTCTTTTTCACTGAAACTGAAAGACGTCTTTTTTTCAGGCACTGGTAAGCCGAGGAAAAGCTTGCAGTATTCAGTACAATAAGGGAAAAGTTTCTGCTCACACATCTAAGTCAAGATCAAACGAAAGAGGCATCCCGTTGTCTACTGTTTTAGTTTTGTAGAATATAAATGTAGGAATGTAAATTGTAGGAAACGATAATTCAGATTGTTTATCCATAAATATGCTATCTTTGCTCTGGAAGGCACATATTTAAAAAACAACAACAACAAAACAAAAAAAAACTAGAGATGATTACGTTCCCTAAAGGGAGGTAGTAGCCACAAAAACTGTGGCGGAGCGGTTGAAAAAGAAAGTCGTGTTATTTCTAACAATTCCTGCTTACCATGCGTGCATGCGTGACGAACCCCTAAAAACGTCTGCGTGGGAGACCACTTACCTGCAAGTGCTTCTTTGGGTATAGGTCTTCACAGTATTCACATCCTATGATTGTCCATTCGCACGTGTTTGCAAAGTGTTGTAGGAGGTCTTTTCTTTTCACGGTCACATGGCAATTTTCGTTGATACAAGTAATAATTTTGAAGAGGCAAACCTCCAGGTGAGCCTGTTATTAATAATAACAACTTGTGAGAATTGAAAGATCACTTCTAGAGAAGAAGTGATCTCCGAACTACCAAATGTCTTAGTTTCGACGCCAGTTAAGAAATTAGCTGACATTCATGGGGATTTTCGTTAATGAATAATTGAGAATAGTCTGTGTCACTTTTGACACTCAAATGAATGTATTATGTCTTTTCATAAATTATGCATACCAAGACAGAATGACCTAGCTCATTCTCTCCTGTGCATCATATGATAACATTCGAAAGAAACAGTTCTCTGGGGTATCATCACGTGGCCTGAAATGGGAAAACAAAACATACAAGCTGAAAAGGTCTATTTGTGCACAAGGCGTGACGAAAAGCCCTGGTAAAAAGTCTACTTTGTCGTGTTGCAATTTAACTGAATCATCTGTCCTGAAAACGATTCTGGCGCAATTAAACAGGAAGACTTGACATGCCAAAACTGGCTTTACGAATCTGAGCTATTACCCCTCCACACTTTTAGTCATCAGGACGCGTAGCAACGTAACGCCACAAGTAAAATACTTGATTTATTCAGTTTCAAAGGTGGTTGAAAGAGACTGGGGCCTACTCAATTTGAAAATGATCATGTTATCCACCGCGCCTTGGATATAATTTTTGTTTTGGCCAGTTTTACCTCTTTGTCTCTCAGCTCACCAGTCCACGAACAACCGTCACTTGGGCATTTGATCACCATTGACAAAATTTTCCTCCCTGTTGCGTTGTCAGGAAATACATCCTACAGTTCAATTAGAAAGAATATTAAACGTAGTGCTCATGATCAGTCCAATATGAATCTTTAAGTGTTAATTAAGAAAAGGATCATGGGAACTGTGGAAAACGTGTAAACACAGAGGGGTTTAAAAACCTCTGTAAATAGGTGCCTCTTTGAACTGTCTTCGACTCAAAGGACGGTTTTTTTTATATATTTCTTTAGCCAACGCTTGATTAGAACGTAAGACCTTTATGTTGATGGTGATGATGAAAACAATGATGATGAGGATGATGATGCATGGTGATGATGATGAAGACAGTTATTAGTACTTGAGATAAATCTCACATTTTCATGGATAAAAAATTTCAATGGGTGGATGCGACTGTCTTGTTCTAAAAGCTCAAAGATATCGTGTTTTATCACTTGATAGCAGTTCGTTTCATATTGTTTTTTACCCTGTATGCTTCATTTTGCGTTCAAGCCTTAAATGAATAAATAAATAAATAAATATAATAGACAAGACCAAAACGCAATAAACAAAGAGGTTACAAGGTAAATGAAAGTGATTTACCCGGTCTCGGTCCAGGCCTTTCCAATCTGCGGGACAAGTATAAGGCTGGTTCTGAGCTTCTTGTCTGAATAAATAAACAAATAACAGTTGAAAAGCGGTAAATACACCATCTTCGTTAGGAGCTGGTGTGTTGAAAGTGTAAAATGTGTCTAAAAGCAATTAATTTCAAATATGGTTTAAGCGTTTGTTCAGAGACCAGTGTTCCCTTTTAAATACATTAAAGCTCACGCATAAATTCCAATCACATCGATACAAACAAATTTTGTGAAGCTTAGCTCTCAAGGTTGACTACTAACACTTCAAGGTTTCTCTCCTATTAGACATAAAATAGATTATTATTCATTCAAAATATTTCCCCGATTCTGATTGGCTAAAAGCACACGCATAATTCACCATAAACATTTACTGATGACCAAATTTGGAAGAATTTTGTGTTTAACGGGGAAAAGACGTCAAAAATACAGCGTTCTTGCAGGTTAATGCACTGTTAACCGAGAAGACCTGTGCACAAGGTTGAGTTGTTTTGGTTGTGAAAACAAAAAATGGCGGACATTTCACTCGTTTCAAGAGTAAGAACTAGGTGAAATTATAGCTAAAAACATGACAAGAACAGCAACAACACAACTCAAATACTCAAAGGCCGACATCTGCTATTTGGAGAATATTTGCGGAGCTGAACAACCCTAAACGTGCACTATCGAAGGTGAACTTAACATCGATGGAGGTAAGCATGTTTTAGCTTTGTTTTTAAACTAGGAATTATTTTGAATGAATAATAAAACAATTATTGAATCCGGCTTTCGTATCATATGAAGAATTATGGAGATCGAGGAGGGTGTTATCCGCCTCGGCCTATAAAACGGCCTCGACCTCCTCGATCTCCATAATTCTTCATGCAACACTCATTCTCATTCATTAATTGTTAAATAACTGATATTTAACGACTTAGCACAGGCTGTTCGAGCATATATTTAAAATCCACAGTAGCGCGTAAAGCATTTAAAATATTGAAAAACTTTTATGCTCCATTTATTGGAAGACCAGTAGCTCGCGTGCAGAAGATCTCTTTCCTTTGATCTTCAATTTGTTTCCAAGAAAATAAGAGACGTCTACACGGAAGCCAGAAGGCCAGGTTACGCAAGAGCAACCTATCGATCATGTGAAACTAGATTATCCGCATTATGACAGCGAACAATGGCTACTCATCTCTAAACAGAGGAAAAGAAAAACATTTTGTCATTTCAAAAGTTGATAATAAATAGAAAACAAACTTAACTGATTACTATGCCAATAACATGTCTAGAGTAATCACTAAACTGGCACGAATTTGTCAATACAGATTTTTCAGCTTGCTTTCTAGTCCCCTATTGAAAAATTTAAGTTGAATCAACTGAATAACATTGTCTTCGATCAATAAATCTACTAAGCTAAATCGACCGTCTTCTGCCTCAGTAAATGAAGTTCGATCGCTTTTTCGTTGACGAGACGTCCAGGTGTTTTTACTGGAACACAGTGCCGGAGTTCGTACTTTACTTTAAGGCTGGCAAACTTTTGGGTCAAAGTTATTTCAACACTCAACATTCAATAGAATTCAGTCGCTAATGCGTATACCTTCTCAAATGTTCATCAAGGCATGCATTACAAAATCTGTGACCACATCTTGTAAGTACAGGCTCCTTCAATGCCAGTTGACAAATTAAGCAAAGAAAGTCATCTTCAACTTCATACACAAACTCCTCGTCAAAACCTGAAGGTAACTGACTGTTGCGTGGAGCTTCCGCCATGTTGCGCCAATCTACTTCTGCGGGCTATTGCGAAAGCGAAACCCTGGTCACAATCTGTGTTTAAGTGTGTCACAATCTATGTTTAAGTGACCTCGAATCGAATTTAACCTCTAGCTACAAGAGAGACTTAAGAAATTTTTCAGGGGTGGTGGGGTGAGTAGTCTATCAGGCTTGTTGAGAATATGGAGAGCCAACCTCTATTTTCGCGCGCAATAAAGCACAGTAACACTAGGATAAGGCGGGTCTTCTCGTATCTTTCTAATATCTTAAACCACAACGTACAGTAACAGCAATATTGCACTGTTATACATTACTTTGGCACTTTCGTTATGTTTATACAATGTGGTTGCCCATGATCTATTAGAGTACAGGCACATGGATGACGTTTGCCTCGGGAAACTTGTACTTTATCCTCACTGCATATCTATCGTCGCATCGCCACAAACTAAGGGACGAATCCGAGACTGCCCTGCCAAAAGATATGCAGCAAGGGCTGGTGATGCAGACAACGCCACCAGGGGAGGTGGGAGGGGCGAAAAGAGCATCCCGTCAAAATGCGAGATTTCACACAGCTGCGCAAAGGATCATAATTGACCCCAATTGACAAAAACCCTTGGGATCAGAAGAATGCAGGCATGTTTGCGAGACACGCTCATTATATATGCAGTGAGAATAGTTTCTTTTGTTTTGTTAAACTGGCACCACTGGCACGCGGTTTTGCCGAAAATGTTTGCGAGATTATTTAGTCTTATTTCGGATTAGGCAAGTGAAGGCCGCGAAAAACGTTTAGCGGGAGTTGTTTACAGAGAAGACAAATGGAAAAACCGAGGCAGAAAGAGGTCTTGACGACTTTATAATCCCTGAACTGGAAGAACTGATCTTCACAGCAGTTGCCATCGTGTGTCATCTCTACGAGAGAATCGCAATTTTGAAAATGTTTTCGCCATTATTGTGCTTTGAGCAAGTGAGGGCAATGAAAATCTTTTCTGAGAAACTGTATTCAAGTAAGATAAAGAAGAAAAGAAGGAGCAGAGACGAAAGTAGCGTCTAAAACTTCAAAAAAGTCCAGAATGGCACAAATCCTGGAACAGTCAAGCGATACGAGGTAAGTATGTCGCTTTTTCTTCTCTTCACATAGATTCCATGTTGCCGCGTGTCTGTTCTGTAATAGATCACAGAAGACGTCAAAATGTAGTAAGAACATCAGTGACATACTCGCGTGCGGCTCGTGTGCCACCTCTTTCTTTTTACTACATTTGACGTCATGAGTGATCTGTAACTGAACAGACCCAGGGCAACATGGAATCTATTCGTTAAACAGATTCTGGCTGCGGTCACTGCTACGACGTAACTAAAGTTTAACTTAAGTTAGTGTTAAGTTACGTGATGTCAAACCTAACTGTAGTTAGTGCTTTCGGTCGACATTGCGGTCATACCACTCATTTAACAACAGTTAGTTCTAATTAGCCTATGTAAATTTTTTGTTTGTTGTTTTTGGTTTCCCCCTCGTTTCACGTTTGGTTTATACTTTGCATATTTATATATGCTCATCTCGCACGTGCGAAAAGAAATGTCACATTCTGATTGGTTGTTTGTTTGTTATCTTAAGACTAAGGGCCTGTTTACTTGGAGGTGGGGGACCCCAGATAGGTGAGGTAATATGCGGCGGGTCACCCCACCTATCATTGTAAACATGATCAAATTAAAATGAGAGATTATGTGGACAGGCGGGTTACCCACAAAGCGGGTTACCTCACCTACCTGGGGTCCCCCACCTGATCCATGTAAACAGGCCCTAACCCACGAACCCTGCTTGGGTATAACTATACTTAGTCTGTGTTGTTTTGGATCACCGAGGCGTAAATTTTCTAACTGTAGTTAGAATGAACAGAGAAGCGGTCACATTACCGAAATATCTAACTATAGTTATCCCCGTCTTAACTATAGTTAGTAGCCCAGATGTGACCGCAGCCACTATCTTGACGTTTGCGCATCTGTTGGCACTACCCTGACGAGCCTTAAAAGTATCTCCTTTGGAAACTGAGATACTGTAAACTTCAAGCAATCATTTGTCCGAAAAAAGTCCACCAAAAATTCTATTTATTAAATAAATGGTTAGCAGTTCTATTTATTAAATAAATGGTTAGCGCTCTATACCTTCTTACTGTTGGGGTTTACGCTCAGTGTGGGCTCCTCTATTTACTGGTTGATTTTTTGTGTAATTAGCCATTAATTCTTAGTTCTTACACTTTAAATTTTTAATCTTGAGAATTACATTCATAACTGATATAATTTTAATTCTTATGTGTTATCGTGTTTTTTGAATGATGGATTATTTTATCGCCGGTTATTACACTGTAATTGTCTAAAAGGGAACTTAGTTCCTATAAGATAAACTTGACAATTTCTTGGATATCACGGCCGATGATAATAGTTACCCCTTCTTGCACAATTTCTTTAGTTTGACTAACTAGAGAGTATCAACTGGTATAATGACATGCAATGACAAGAAATTGATAGACTCGCCTTGTTTACGAACTGAGTCATACAGTGGTTTCCTTTTGGTCGAATGTTCAGTAATAAAACGGGTAGCCTTAGCGCTATCCGTAACTTCAATTTTAATTCTCTGTGTTGTTCCCATTTTCTATTTTCCTGTTCTCCGTCCTCGGTCCTCGGTCCCCGTATCCCGTTTGCTCTTAATGTACTTCGTACTAACTTACTTAATACCTTCTTACTTATACTTACTTACTTATTCACCTACCCACCTAACAACCTAGCCAGTTACTTACTTACTTACTTACTTACTTACTTTATACACACTCACTATTCACTCAATCACTCACCGATTTATTTACTTTAACTTACTATCGAAAGCATAATTATTACAGTCTCCATAGAAACTGTAATCGCATCGAATAAGCAGAGCGCGCTTTTTGGGAAAATCCAAAAACGGATTTTGTGTTTTGGGGGGCAAATCCAAAAACGAATCATGAATCCATGATTCTCTGGGTGGATTCTTCGGATCAAATCCAAATCCGGATTTTTGAGATTCACAATCTGAGCGTTTTTTTGGGAAAGAATTTGAAAAAAATATTTTTGACACGCGGTTTTCCGAACAAGAATAGTTCACAACAAATGCCGTAAGCGTATGACATCCTAACTGAATCTATGTTAGTGACGCCTTAACTTTGAGCCATTAATTACATATATCATTTCATGTTTGTCATCTATTTACATTCGTATACCGTTTTTACACCCGTACTAGTCATGTTTTTTTGTGCTTATGTACGTACGTTCACGAGGAGCACAAAGACATGCCGTTGTCATGGTAAATGATCCTTTTTCGGATCTTCCGTTTTTTTTGGTAGTGAAGAATCCATATAATCTGAGATCACAAATCCATTTTTGGATTCTGACTCCAAAAAAAACGCACACTTAGTAGAAGAGCTACAGTGTCCATTACATAGCTGTGGATGCATCAGAAAGAAAAATTATCATTTTTTTGTAGTTATTATCAGCGATGGAGTCGTATTCGTGAGAGAAGTCATACGGTGAACGGAGTCGGAGTTGGTAGCAAGAACCCGAACTCAACTTGATCATCACGTAAATATCCCAGGGTACTGGCATCGACGAAAAATTTCTCGTCAGGGTGTGGGTTAGTGTTTTGCCATTATTTGCCCTGACATTACTAGTGAAGCATACATGAGGTGAAAACAACAAAACGGTCGTCAAAGAGTGCTGCAGTCAATTTTGAAATACTGAAAGGACAGGTGGCGGCTGAAGCGATAAGAAGTGTTCAAGGCTTTGCAAAAGGTTTTCTGAAAGTTTTCTCCGCGCGGTCCTCCCCCCATGGGTCTAGGCTAAACTCAAAGGAAACAAAGTCCTGCAACTGATGAAAGCTCAAATGTGGCTCTAGCCTGTCACAGTCCCAGATGTTAGTGGGGATTCTACCGACTCCGACTTCGTCGGAGGCCGAAAATAAACGGCCTTAAAATCAAAACTGAACAATAACGGAGTAAGAAAATAACTATTCATCAGGGCCTACATCCACCTGAAGAAACACAGTGTCATTTACAATGTAGCGCCTTGTTTGAAGTACCTTGTGAGAAATGAATAAAGGTATTCCTCCCTTACATAAATTTGCTTGCCCGGGTCTTTTCAAAAACAAGTTATTGAAAGGACCTTGTCTCCTTGCACTTAAATAATCTACAACGTTATTTCGTTGTTTCAAATCTTCATGTTGATCAATCAAAGTGAACGTTATTTTCTTTCTAAAAGGCCAGGGTAACATGTTATCATATTCACCTTCCATTAAAAAAATTGCGACCGAGAGATGAGGAGACCTACGGCTAGGCAAATGTGTAAAATATCCGGCAAAATGAGGAATAACTGACACTTTTAATTTGTAACCGTAACATGCAGTGTAGAATGGATCACTTTCTATCGTCTCCTTCTCTCCTGCTTTCGCTTGCTTCAGAATATCACGGAATTTGTCAATCTTCCAAACATATCGGGTGTTGCCTTCTTCCTTATCTGTACTCAATTTCAGCCCAAAATGCCTTTGAAGCATGCCTAATTTTTCCACCAAATTTCTTGTTGTGTCTTGCGTTTCACGTACTTGATCCTTCATTAATTTCAATTCCACTTGGGTTTCTTTCAACTGTACTCGTGTTTCACCCAACAGAACCTGCGTACTGTTGAGTTTATCACAAGCAAAGTTGAGATGCTCTCGCATGGCTTTTTGAAGATGCAAATCCAAGTTTTTGCGCTTAACCTGCAGAAAAAGGACATACAGTGTATAACATGGTTTGAAAAATCTTGAAAAGGTCTTAGCCGTCTTAGAAAATCCTTGAATTCCCGGTTTGGGTCCTTGAAAAGTATTTAATTTCTTTATTTGGTCTTGAAAAGTCCTTGAAATTCACAACCTTGTCTACGCCAGACACCTTTTTCTGTAAAATTAGATTATTTTGCCAAGGAAAATTTAGCTCATCCTCGGTGTAAGAACCTGTAGAACTCACGAGCAACTTAAAAACATTTTTGTGCATAAACAATATTCTATTTAACTTATTTCATTTCAAATTCTATTTCTGTACTTCAGATGCAATTGCAAGTCATACCCAGTCATTTTGCAAAGTGTTGTTGTGGAAAGTGGTATAAAATAATGTGATCAACCATGGCCGAAGAAGTAAAAACCGTAAATGTTTTCATAACGTGTTTAGCCACCAGGGTGATCAAAGAGGGTTAAAGAATCTCGATTTTAGCCTTACCTCTTTACATCTTAAAAGTTTGTCTTGGCTAGGAGTTTGTCTAAATGTCTGATATGGTAGATAGAAACGTTGCTGAAACTTGCGTGCCGTGGTGTCACAGGCAAACGGTATGGAAAGGAGGAAGGACGGTGCTCGACTCACTATGCTCATTTACAATATTAATGAGTATGTTTGCAGTTGCTAAGCGTTTCTCATTCCGCCCAAAGCTAGAGCGTTACTGCGTGGACATGTTAAAATAGCGGTATTTTTACGACGTGAGGTGTCAATTAACGACCACGCGGCATTAAACTAGGGACCACCAAGATAGAGCAGAAAATGTAACCAGATTTTTTTTTACTCTCTTTCTCTCGGAGTCTTCCGCGGTGTTTTAACTGTGTACTGAGAAGTTTACAGTGTATTGAATAAACCTGTTGAGAGTGCAACAACTGGTGCGTAATAACTCTTCTAAGTGGATACGTCATATATCCAATTCACTAAGTCAGAGTGTTATCTTCGAAAGAACAAACCTTTTTGATGCATCCCATCTTCGCATACGGACAGGAAACTAATGTCAAAGGGCAGTGGTCTTCAATATGATTTGGAATCTAAAAAGAATTATAAAGAAGGTCAACTCACAACCGAAACGGTAATTATCTTCCTAACATAGATATATTCCAGTTGTAAGAAATTTTATCTTAATTGTTAACTGAAAGGACACATTACTACAAGAACTTCTTGGAAAAAGATTTGCGTTTTGAACAAAATGAGAGTTTATTATAAATTTTCAAGTCTAAATTTCTTTTGCACACCCCGGTTCCACTGATCACGAAGGTTCATATGTGACGTTATGAGACAAATTCAGGATCTGAAAAACGGGGCGGATTTTATCCATCCTTTCTCCCTTTCTTAGGGTTGCCAGAATTTGTTGTGTCTAACTCCAACGCATGTTACTCGGCATGTTGTACGTTTAACATCTGTTTTATTAGTTTATAAAACTCCACATTCTCAACGGTCTACTTTTGATCTATTGTTGACGAATTACCGTAAAATTCCGAAAATAAGCTCCGGGCCTTATAGTTTTCAAAGGCCCTTTTTTAGGGGCTTATTTTTGGAGGGGCTTATATTCGGAGGGGCTTATCTACGGCTAGCCTTTAGTTGGAAGCCGAGTAAATTTACCGTTTTTGCTTTGTTTTACTTTGTATTTGAGGGCAATTTTCCAAGTACAAACCCCTGGGGGGCTTATATTTGGAGGGGCGATTTAACGGAGGGTTTTTTGCGTTACCGGTTTGGGGGGCTTATTTTCGGAATTTTATGGTATTGATTGAATGTTATACGGTATTAAATTCTCTCTTATCGACTCGGTTCGGTAAAAAATATATATTTTTTGTATTATTGATAAAATACTCTTATTACGATAAAATACAGTTACATCTACCATTTCTCTAGTAACTGATTCACGACAGCTGTTAGGGCAAGGAAAGGGAAACTTGCTGCAGGTTTTCAAGTGATCCTGCAAAGAGACAAATGATACCCTCTGAAGAACTTATCAGTGTAGTTATCAGAAAAAAATTGCAAAAATACATAATTAACTTCAGGGAATGTTCAACAACAACAAAAAAAGAAAAATAATGAACAAAAGTGCCGTGTTTTGGTTGAGTTTTTCTCCATACGTTTCGGGCCTGGCCCTTCATCAGTGAAGTAAAAAAGTACGTGGGAAAGTTTCCCACGCACTTTGTAACTCCACTAATGAAGGGCCAGTCCCGAAACGTCTGGACCAAAATGGGCAAAATATTTAACCGGTTTCAGACCAAAACGGCGCAAAACCCCTACCCTTTGGGGTGGCACTTACCTATATGGGTTATATAAGGGAGTACCCCTCCCCCCCGGGCATTTAACCTGGCTCCAGTGGCCACTTAGGAGAACCATTCGCTTAAGGTGATGTTACACGAGACGACTATTTGCAACGACGATTTTTAGCGCAACACTGCGTTGCAACATTGTTGCGACATTGTTCCTAATGGTTACAACATTGTTCCAGCATTGCAACGTTGTGTTGCGCTAAAAACCGTCGTTGCGAATCGTCCCGTGTAACATCGCCTTTAAGCGGTCGGCTCCAGTAAAGGACACCTTTTTCGCGTCCCGAGGGTCTCCACTTACGAGAGCTTCCACTGCATGTAGCTCCTTGCATTGGCTATAAAGGGAAACAAAAACCATTGGTTCGGCCATGGTCAGGCGCGGCCCACTGTAAAATCAATGCTAGCTGTAGGGCCAGACAGGATTGTTTACCTGTAAGTGCCTCTTTGGGTGTGTTTCTTCACAGTATTCACATTCTATGATCCTCCACTGGCACGTGTTTGTCACGTGTTGTTCGAGGTCTTTCCTTTTCACGGTCACAAGACAATGTTCGTTGGTACAAGTAATAATTTTGAAAGGGCAAGCTTTCAGGTGAGCCTGTTTAAAACAACAAATATGAGAATCAAAAGAGTGATTGCGTTCCAAACTAACAAAGGGAAGGGGGTCTCAGTTTCGACGTCATTGGGGAAAATAAGATAAAATTCCTTTTGTTTTTGTTAACAAATGGCTGAAAATTGTCTGCATCACTTATATACCGTTCGCTGTTCATAACGAGAAAATACGCAATCATTTTGCGTTAAACGGTGACCAATGGTGCGAAGATGCATTCATTAGCGTCAAAATACGAACATTTGCGCATAAATCAGGTTCAACTACGATTTTTGCATTTAATTCAGCATAACAAAAGAGAAAAATATACTTTCATTAATGCTAACATCAAAGTCATTAACACCATCTTGGAAGTCAATAGGGACAACAGACATACATTACCATTTTCATGGCACTGTTTGCAATTCAATAGAATTCCTGGACAACCTTAGGATAGATAAGACAAACATTAATGCGCTTGTACAATCAATTGAGTGTTCTTTACATTTAATATACAAAAATTGATTTTCAAGTGAACAATCGAAATTCAAACAAATTTGGCCTGAATTTCAGTCCGTTAATTGAATATCCCTCAAAAAACTCTCTATTTAAACATTTTGGGAGGTAGGTTTGCATGAAATGGTATCCCTTAGCACATTTAGCTGCAAGTGACATGTTTCTGCGCAGAGCTTCAAGCGCTGCAGTTGATGTGTCTGAACTCCGCTAGTGGGATTGCTAGGTCTTTGCCCTCATTCCTGTTATACCTGAACATCTTTGAATTTCCGCACTCGAGAGGTAGGTCTTAGGTGTCGCTTTCAACTTAAAGCCTTTTCAACGATGTCAAGGGGGGAAGCATAAGCTGTGTACGTATGGGGTGGGGCGGGGGGAATGGCCAAATCTAGGTGAGCTGGCACTCCGTCATACGCAAAGACCGGGATCCATTTTATTCCTTGCCCGTGCCAGAAAGTCACCGAAAAACCGACACAGCATTCATTACTCCAGCAGCTACCGAGGAAATATTTGATAGGTGATATTGCCATGGTCATAGTCAAGCTTCGTCCTTGTTGGCCGCACACTTGGTGGTACGCCCTCAAATCCCTGACGTCCCCCACCATGACTTCTGGCCCGTCTAGGGTAAATATATACAGCCGCAGTGGTCGACGAACACACAGTGGCGAAGTACGGCGTGATTCTCTTCAACAAATTCAGGGGGGAATTGGTATTGTTTAATGGAAAATAGATTTTTGTATATTAAATGCAAAGAACGCTCTGATTAATTATTGACTGTACAAGCGCATCAATTTTTGTCTTATCCATTCTAAAACTGTGATTGCTAGTGATTTTCAAGATAATGTTAATGACTCGAATGTTGGCGTTAATGAAAGTTTATTTTTCTCTTTTATAAATTATTTGCCGAATGACGCAAATAAATGCCTAAAAATATAATTGAATTTTGATTAAAATCCAAAAATCGTCATTGAATCTTGTTTATGCGCAAATGTTCGTTTAACATTGGCGAATTCCTCACTTTTGTCTGACTTTTGTCATTAAGGGCCTGTTTACATGGAAGTGGGGGACCCCAGGCAGGTGAGGTATCCCGCTTAGGTGGGGTAAAGAAATAACCCCGCTTTACATGTAATCTTATAACCCCACCATCCAGGGGTGCACATTTTCAAGATTATTGAATGGTCACTAAGCACGTAAACAAGAAAAATGCTGGCAAACCTCGTGTTTTGGCTATTAATGCTCTTCTACACTCACGTGCTACTCTTGCTGCAACCTTCAGTGCCTTGGCTTTCTATTGTTAACTTTAATAATGATGCCAAGCCACTGCCAAAATGAGTTTTGGTCGAATTTGATGTATTCCGAATCCGACCCCGGCTAAGCGGGTTACCCCACCTTGAAACGTTTACATGGCAAAATTTGACCCCGGGTGAGAGCGGTTACCCAGAATAGGTCACCCCACCTATCATGTAAGCGTGATCCAAGTAAAATGAGAGATTATATGGACAGGGGGTTACCCCACCAAAGCGGGTTACCTCACCTACCTGGGGTCCCCCACCTCCACGTAAACAGGCCCTAAAATGTCACGTTTGTATGTCTTTTGTCATTAAAATGAGAAAAATGACAAAACTCAGACAAAAATTACGAATTAATCACTCCGACGTCATTAGCACGCTACGCTGTTTTGGTTGTGTTCCCTGATTTGCATCACTATGATGCAAAACGGTATGGAGAAAGTTTGACTGCATACCGAGGGGATTTTTTTGAAGGGATACATTGGCTGCGGTCACATCTACGACGTAACTAAAGTTTAACTTAAGTTGGTGTCACGTTACGTGATGTCATACCTAACTGTAGTTAGTGCTTTCGGTCGACATTGCGGTGACACCACTCATTTAACAACAGTTAGTTCTAATTAGCCTATGTAAATTTTTTGTTTGTTGTTTTTGTTTTCTTTTGAAGCCCTCGCTTCAGGCTTGGTTTTTATGTTGAATATTCATATATGCTCATCTCGCTCGTGCGAAAAGAAGTGTCACATTCTGATTGGTTGTTTGTTTGTAAACTTAAGACTAAGGGCCTGTTTACATGGAGGTGGGGGACCCCAGGTAGGTGAGGTAACCTGCTAAGGTGGGGTAACCCGCCTGTCGATATAATCTCTCATTTTAATTTGATCACGTTTAGATGATAGGTGGGGTGACCCGCTAAGGCGGGTAGCCCGGTCTGCCAGACCGGGTAACCCTCTCAGCCGGGGTCAAATTTTGCCATGTAAACGTTTCAAGGTGGGGTAACCCGCCTAGCCGGGGTCGGACTCGTGATACTGAATTCGCGCTAAATTCACTTTGGCGGTGGCTTTGCATCATTATTAAAGGTAACAATAGAATGCCACAGCACTGAAGCTTGCAGCAAGAGTAGCCGAAGTGAGTGTAGAAGAGCATTAATCACAAAAAGACGTGGTTTGCCAGCATTTTTCTTGTTTACGTGCTTAGCGACCATTCAGAAAGTGTACTCCCGGATGGCGGGGTTGTAAGATTGGATGTAAAGGAGGGTTACATCTGTCCTAAAGCAACGATTCAGGCGTATACAGCAGAATCCTTGCTACCACGAGCACATTTTTGTTATCACATTAAATTTTTGTTATAGCTGCTAGTGGTTAATATCTTCACTACTGGACCTTCGCATTGTTTTACCATCTTTGGTAATATTACCATTTCTATGTAATGTGAAACCATTATAGATTAAAGTAAGTTGTAGATGTAGAATATCTTAGTCAACTCGTACCATAGTGCGCAACACTTTCAGTCGCGAAGCGGACCAGTTTAAGACCATAGAAAGAAGGCTTAAATTTTCGTGTCTTTTAAGTACAAGACGTGCTTGAAAAGACTTGTGCCTTGGAAATAATAATATATTCATTTTTTTACCTCTTTGTCTCTCAGCTCACCAGTCCATGAGCAACCGTTACTTGGGCATTTGATCACCATTGACAAAATTTTCCTCGCTGTTGCCTTGTCAGGAAATACATCCTAAAGTACATCAAGGAACAAAATCAGTTAAACGAAGTGCTCAAGATCAATCAGAAAAGATTCGAAAAAATCAAAAAATCAAAAAAGATTCGTAGAGTTCTTTCGTTGCGTAGACCCAAAGAACCGTTTCGTGTTAACACATGTCCTGAAAGGGGTCTTGACTTCTTGTCAAATACCCGGCGAGTTACTCTGAGGGGCTGCAGAAAAAAGCTTTCAGAGTTGGGTACATAAAGAGACTATAAAGCATGCAATACAGAATTAGCAGATTGCAAAACAATGGGATATGAAATTATGACACACATCGTCGAATTAACGGACTGTTTTTCTGAAATTAAGAACGACTTATACATATATAGGAACTTGACTTTAGCGCACAGTCTGTCCAGTCGCTGCCTAGGCGGGCACTATATATATGATGATTTTACTGTTTTTAACTATAATTCTATTTTTAAAAGCTGTAGCAAATTATCCTTAGGTGCTTGATAGCTAATATTGTAAATTCATCTTAAATCTTATACATATTGTATCTTTAAAGAGTTTTTTATTGTAGTTTTATATTGTATGTAATTTTATCCTTATTTTTATTATCTCCCTATGTTGTAATTTTTCTTACATCACCCCAATCTTGTCATGTTTAAGTAAAAGGGATGATGATGATGATGATTAATGTCACGATTTCCTGAATGGCAAATATTTTGAACAACAGTTTTTTTTTTTTTTTTTTTTTTGATTTTTTTGTTTTTTTTATTTTTTTTTTTTTTTTTATTTTTTCTTTCTTTTTTTTTTTTTTTTTTATTATTTTTTTTTTTTTTTTTTTATATTTATTTTTTTATTATTATTTATTTTATTTTCCTCATTTTTTCAATGTTAATTTTTTTGAATAATGTTTTTTTTTTTTTTTTTTGTTTCATTTAGTGGCAGCTCGTTTCGATTATTTTACCTTGTAAGTGTCATTTGCATGTTAGCTTTAATAATAAATACTACCAAAAAACATCACACACTTAACTGAGTCAAATGATAGTCACTTACCGGCTGATCTCGGTTCAGGCCTTCCCTATCTGCTGGGCAGGTGCAAGGCTGGTTCTGAACTTCTTGTCTGTTTTTTTAGTTTAAGAAGTAATAATAATAAATCAATAAATAGATTAATAAAAATATGAATCAATAGATGAAAAATTAACACGCAAATTACTTGTAAAAAAATTGGTTAAGCGCTGTCAATACACAGTCTGTGTTAGGAAATATGTTGAAAGTGTAACTTTAGGCCAATCACATTGTATCTGAAAAATTAATAAAAAATTTTCATAAACTACGCAGAAGGTTCGCTCGGGATTCGCCACTTGGGAAGCTTAACGGTCCTTTCTGTTCTACAGCTGAGGTCCTATTCGACCTGGACTGAAACTCGAAATAAAGTCATTCAGCTATTTTCGTCCGCTACAATACTTCTTTCTACGGCTTATAGCAGATTTTCAACGATTTAGCGAAGGCTTTCCGAGTATAGAATCCGCTTCGGCGTAAATTCATTTGACAAATTAATACAATACAATATAATACAATACTTTATTCAAGAGGTAAAAACTAAAGTTACAAAATATCTCTCGAAATGGGATATCTAGAGGTCAACCCTATATAAAAGATTCCCCAAAATAAAAGATGAAAAGGTAAAATCTAGAATCTAAAACATTATATACAGAGAAAAAAATCTAAAACCTAAAAACTAGAATAAAAAACATATCATAATTAAACCTATTTACAATCGTATAATCAATATTTAGATAAATCCTTAATATACCCCGGTTGCGAAATAAAGTCAGCGATCCTGCGTGTACAACATCTTTAGGCAAGTTATTCCACGCATTAACGATCCGTAAAAAGAAAGAATATTTGTAGCAATTTATGATGGCAACTTTTACATAGAGCTTATAATCATGATTGGCTCTAGTTCGATTACACTTAGTAAGTTCAAAAAAGTCCGAAAAAGGAAGGCTATCTATTCCAAAAACTATTTTGTAGCACTGAACTAGAGGTAAGAACTCTCTACGTTTAAGACTAAAGACTATTATACTGTGAACTATTATGCTCTGGAAGGCTACAGGTTAGTACGCAATAGCAACCATCATTGATTGCTACATAGATCAATGACGTGAAACCAGATTGTCCGCATTCCTGAACTGATCAATGACATCGAAAAATGGCTACTTATCCGTCTCCAACAGAGGAAAAACCATCTATCAAAAGTTGATCAATAGAAAACAAGCTTAACTGAACTGGTCACTAAAGAACACGACTGTATCAGCTTTTCTTTCTCCTATATTTAAGCTTACTAAAGTTGATACACGACATGGCCTCCATAAAATTAATCCTTGAGCTGAGGCGACGGTTGTTTACCTTGGTAAATGAGCGCTGAGTTTTTTCGTATTGGGATGTCCGTACACTAGTGGTTTACTGAAACACGATGCGGGAGTTTGTAGATAGTGCTCCACTTAGAAGTGGAAATAAAGCTTTTATATTAACCTTCAACATTCAAGAGAATTCAGTCAGATAGGCGTACCTTCTCAAATGTTCCTCGAGGCATGCTTTGCAAAATCTGTGACCGCATATTGTTTGAACAGGCTCTCTCAACGGCAGCTGACAAATTAAGCAAAGAAAATCATCTTCAACTTCATATACAAACTCCTCGTCGTAGCCTGAAGGTAACTGAGTGTTGAATAGAGCTTCCGCCATGTTGCGCCAATCTCCTTCACCAAGATGTTACGAAAGCGACACCTTTCAGGTCACAATTTTTTGTGTAAGTGACCTCGAATCGAATTTAATCGCCATCTACAAGTCTCGCGACTTAAAAGGACTAAAGAGATCTCTTAGGGGTGGTGAGTCGGGTCGATCATACTGTCTAATATAGACAAACGCAAAAAAGCATCCATTTTCGCGCGCAAAAAAGCACACGAAAACTAGGATAAGGTCTGTATTCTCATTCTTTCAAATATTTTTAACCACCGCAATATAAGCTTCTAATATAAAAGCAACATAAAAATTAAAAACGGAAACATCAAGGCTGGTGACTTCATCTATGTCACGGAGGTTGTAGCTGCACAAAAAGAAAGTGTTGAGAGGTAATGGCGTTACTTTGGCCAATCAAAACACTCGAAGCCGACACTTTTAGGCAATACGCGATTTATTAGTTAAAACAAACTTTCATTTATACGATAGGAAATGAAAGATAAAGGAAAAGAAACCAGGAGAGGATTCAAAAAACGTGATCTTGGTGAGTAAAATTGCAAGGGGTAAGGGGGTAGATTGGTGGAAGGGGTACCAAACTCTTCTTTCAGCCTATTATTTTACAAATCCGGTTTTTCAATTCCCAAAATTCCATTTTTCCACTATCGAAAGTCAGAAAATCTCACTGATTATGAATCTAAAACCGGACTTTTGGATTAAATTATTAACTAATCCACAAGTCCGGTTTTAGATTCATAATCAGTGAGATTTCCTGACTTCCGATGGTGGAAAAATGCAAACACACTTACCCACATATCCAGGACTCATCCAAACTAGAGGGTTTGTTTAATTTCACTCACCAACATCACTTTGTTGAATCCTCCCCTGGTTTCTTTTCCTTTATCTTTTATTTGCTATCATATAAATGAAAATTATTTTTAACACCGTAATGAATCGCGCTTATTCGAGAGGGAGGGGAGAGGCGCTTATAAGGTTTAGTCATCAACGAGACGAAGCAATTTTTTTGCCAATTCTTCATACTGAAATAACCTCAAACGAATGTAGGTAATAATATCTGTAACTGGCTTAAGGAGGAAGAGACTGTTCTCTTATATTGATGGTGTAGTGAAGTAAAAGAGATTTTCGTTTCAACATCCATCCTATTTACCCAAAATTAGAGGACAATTGGAGAAGAGGGGTCCAGTCAAACCAACCTAAAAACAAGTTGACCGTTCAGTACAGGTTCGTCCAACCTAAGATCTTTGTTATACTCTTTTTGTTCAAAACGTAAAGAAAAAAAAAGGCTATTTTAAGCGTAGCCTGCACAGCAAGCGTTTCCAATCGAGTTATTGCGCCAAAGTTAGAGCCGGAGCAAAAAAAAAAATTTTTTTTGCTTTCGTCCCAACTTTCTCGATGAACTCGCGCGGAAACGCTTTCTACGCAGGCTATTTTAAGCGTCGCACACAATGTAATCAGTGCACTAATATGATACAACTTAAAAATAGACGGTTTATTAGAGGACACGCTTATATAAAGTTAACAGTGGTTGACTGTTTAATACACTGTTAGGTTTTGTATTACATATTTTTTAGACTGGCTGAGAGGGTGGGCGCATATTCAAGGGAAAACGATCAGTGCAAGTTTAGCTTTAAATCAGTTCAGAGTCAGTTGATGACTTCTTCTCATCAGCAGTAAGCGGAGAATACTAACCGAGTGAAACGTGAACAACCCTAAAAAAAGGCCTCCAATTTGTTAAACTTTGGACTGTGGAGATTACTCAAGGGTTAAAGACGTAGCTTCAAAAACTCAAAAGAGCAATTTAGTAACTCGGTGTCGGTGCAGTGTGAATAACCCTTTCTTCCCAAAAAAAAAAGGCCTATAATTTCTAGACCTGTGGATTCACTAGCTTGAAAAGGAACCGCGGAATAAGGTGATAACTAGTCATCAGGTTCTACATCGACCTGAATAAACAGAGTCTCATTTGCAAAGTAGCGCCTAGTTTGAAGTTCTCCGTAAGATATGAAACGCAATATCGCACCCTGTAGCTCCGAAGTTGGTCTTCTTGAGAATATCTCTTCCCACACATGTTCACTTGGGCTTAAATATTTTGTAATGTTTTTCCTTTCTTTGAGATCCTCGTTTTGATCAATCAGTGTGACCGTTATTTTCTTGCTAAAAGGCCAGGGTAATATGTCATCGTATTCACCTTCCATCAAAACGACGACAATCGTGAAAGTCCAGTCACTTAAAGGTCCACGACGATAACCAAGAGAGAGTTTCACTTTTAATTTGTAGCGATAACATCCAGTGTAGAATGCATTACTTTCCTTTACTCCCATGGTATTTCCTCTTCCCATACGCAGAGGACCCGGATTGAGCTTCCAAATAAACCGTTTGTTACCACCCCCTTTATCAGTATCCACTTTCTTCGCTAGTTGCCTCTGAAGAGCTTCAAATTTCTCCGCAAGTTTCCTTGCTGTTTCTTGGGTATTTCTTAACTGAACCTGTGTGTTGTTAAGTTTAACACATGCTAAGTCAAGATGCTCACGCATGGCGGATTGAAGATGTGAATCCACGTTTTTGCGCTGAAACTGTAGAAAGAAGACAAATGATCTTTAGTTAGAGCGTGTATTTACAATCCCATGCCTTATGAAATTTTGTTTGCCTAGTAATTTTCTTAGTGCCAGGACGAAAGGCTTTGCCCGATAACTCAGACCGAAAGTGGTCCGAATTGAGAAGTTTCCCGTTGGTGTTGTTACTCATGTACAACGTACAGTAAACACCCGCATACAAAATGGTGTTTACTGTATTATGTTTTCAATCCTCTAAAATTAAGAATTAATTTGATTAAGAGCAAACCTTTTCAATGCATCCCATTTCTTCGTACGGGCAGGACACTAAAGACAAGGGACAGACGCTGCCAATGTGGTTTGGAATCTAAAAGAAAATGGTAAAATCAAATAAGCGAACCGTTTCAATTGGCCAGTTTCGAATTGTTAAAAGATTAAAATTCATACTTGGCCTTGAGGCTGAGAGGAATAGAACAAAAGAAATGAATTAGTGATCCCCGAGACTCAACCCTGCAGCCTTGGACCTAAGTATGAATTTTGATAATTGGTGAGACACGACCCAGTGCTTAGCATAACTTTCATCATGATAGTGCTTTTTATCAAGTCAGCAGTTTTGAAAATGTCGATCAAGTCTGAATGTAAAGTAAAGGTCATAGTCACAGTCAATCCTACATTTTCTATATGCTCGATCCGGTTAGTATAGCACTTGATGAAGGACTAAGACTTGTTTCCGTTGTTCACGTGTGATTCGTATTTATCCATGCGTCAAGCCGAAGAAAAAAGCCTGGATGCAACTTATACAAGAATGCTGCAAATGGTAAAAAACATATAATGGAAGGACAAGGTTAAAAACAGCGAGCTTTAAGGTAGTCAAAGCGGTAAAGGGGCGAAAAGAGGTGACCTCTACCATTCAAAATAGAAGAATCGCTCTTTCTGGAGAATGTTTTTCGCGATGAGAGTTCTCCAGTGCAACGGCTGATAACATGGGTGCCTGCACATGGAAGGGCTGCAAGAGGAAGTACGACAGCTACATACCTAAACACACTGCTGGGGATACTGGTCTTTAGAACATTCAAGATCTTAAAAGTTGTATGAGAGATCGAGCTCCATGGGGTTAGTTTTCTTCCCGTCGTTTTTTAGGCGTCGACCGGAAGTAAGATGTAAGTAAGTATACGTCAAGAGGCTTTTGTTGTCTCATAGAAGACTGGAGATAACTTCAATTTTTTTTTCAAACAAGAAGAGAAACCGTAGCTGCATAGTGCGAAGATACTTTACTCTACCATCAGTGAAGTCACCCATACTAAAATGAAATGCNTCAAAGCGGTAAAGGGGCGAAAAGAGGTGACCTCTACCATTCAAAATAGAAGAATCGCTCTTTCTGGAGAATGTTTTTCGCGATGAGAGTTCTCCAGTGCAACGGCTGATAACATGGGTGCCTGCACATGGAAGGGCTGCAAGAGGAAGTACGACAGCTACATACCTAAACACACTGCTGGGGATACTGGTCTTTAGAACATTCAAGATCTTAAAAGTTGTATGAGAGATCGAGCTCCATGGGGTTAGTTTTCTTCCCGTCGTTTTTTAGGCGTCGACCGGAAGTAAGATGTAAGTAAGTATACGTCAAGAGGCTTTTGTTGTCTCATAGAAGACTGGAGATAACTTCAATTTTTTTTTCAAACAAGAAGAGAAACCGTAGCTGCATAGTGCGAAGATACTTTACTCTACCATCAGTGAAGTCACCCATACTAAAATGAAATGCAGTTACCATTTCTCTGAGAACTGAATCCCCGCAGTCGTTAGGGCAAGGAAGTGGAAACTTGCTGCAGTTCTCCAAGTGATCCTGCAAAAAGACAAATACCTAATTTATCCTTTTGCACTTGGGTTGAAAAACGTCATTTTTTTTTCAGGCCGTGAAAGTTTCGTAGTTCTCAATTCTTTGTTTTCCAATCCCCCATAGTAATACAGTCTGTTACTCCCGCAGACCGCTCTCGGGCCAAATTTTGCATAAGCTGTATTATCATTCGATGCAGATTTTTCTTCCTTGTTATTGGCCGAGAGTCCAAAACGTTACCTGTAAATGACTGCCTTCAAATAATAGCCTGCTCATGCGTAATAGCGTCCAACTATGTTAGGCTACAAATGATATTCTGCTCATGCGTAAGTGAAACCACGTTTTTCTTCTTCTTGCGACCGCTCCTGCTTTGTAATTGGCAGATCGCTTCGCAAATAATTGAAAAACAAACTCTGTGATCAAGTAATAAAAGAATTATGAAACTCGGTTATCGCAAAATATCGTGATTTTCAGTGTATCACACATCACTATATTTCGCGAAACCTCATCCAATAATTGTTAAGTACTGATCTGATTCAGCTGATTGGTTCGACTAGTCCTAAATTATTCGACGTCTGACCCAACGGACGATCTTAACTTAAGAAACGTTTTTAACTAAAAGAAAAAACACTGCCTGGGGCATTTGACTGCAGTGTAGCCACGTTTGAGGTAAACAGCGCTACCTGTGGACAAGCCGGTGAAAGGCTAATATTAGCTCAAAGCTGAGCTAAGTCAAGATCAAACGAAAGAGGCGTCTCACTCGTCATCATCTGTAAAAACTACGGCAAGAGGAAGCTTCGTTTAAAATACGCGACGTAGTTGAAAGCGTAGTTTTGTTATTTTCAATTCTTTTTACCTTCAAGCTCCTCTCTGGATGTGGTTCTTTGCAGTATTCACATTTTAGGATCTTCCAATCGCAAGTGTTTGTCACGTGTTGTTCAAGATCTTTCCGCTTTATGGTCACATGGCAATTTTCGTTGGTACAAGTAACAATTTTGAACGGGCAAGCTTCTAGGTGAGCCGGTTTGAAATAATACACATTTTGCAGAATTAAGAGAGGAAAGCGTATAGGGTACGATACGAACAATTGGGGTCGCGGTTGTGTAGTGGTCATTGCTTGCATGGCTTCTGGTATACTCCATGGTCGTAGTTCCTCTGCTTGAATAACAACATATAGAAGTTTACTTTACCTATTTGCACAACACTAGTGCAAAACTAAACGGAGAGTGTTTGTCTGCAATACCAAAGAAATTCTTTTTGAAGGCCTAAAGCCAGCCCTCGCGCCATGTAAGGGAATTTAAGACAGCACTGAGCCATGGATTCCTGATTCCATGTACTGAATTACAGTCGTTGTAAGTGGAACTTGGATTCTGGATTTCAAGCTTTTCTCTTTCATCTCTTAGCTTTCTCTCAAGCTTTTAGTGGGATTCCCGATTCCTTGAGTTGTTTTCCGGATTCCAATTTCACCAGCATTCCGGATTCTCTAGCTACAAGCAAACATTTCCCGGATTCCGGTCTAGGTTGTGATGTACATTTGTCCTGAAATTAAAACGATTCAGGCGTAGAAAAGTCGACTTGCACACGCGTTCAGTTACAAACCGGCTGTACGAATCTGACGTTTGACCTCTCCACATTTCCTTTTCACCCCTCCACACGTTTCATAATTCACGCGTAGCACATATAAACGTAGGGCTGTATTAAAAAGTAAAATACTTGATTTAGTAAGTTTTAAAAGCTGGTGAAAGAGACTGGGGTATACTCAATTTGGAAATGATCATGTTTGACACGAAATGAATCAACCCGGTGCCTTGGATGTAATTTGTGCTCTTGGTTTTTTACCTCTTTGTTCCTCAGCTCACCAGTCCACGAGCAACCGTCACTTGGACATTTGATCACCATTGACAAAATTTTCCTTCCTGTTGCATTGTCAGGAAATACATCCTAAAGTGCAACAAGGAAAGTGAAATTAACGACGTGTTCAAGATCAATCGAATATGAATCTTTAAGTGTTGTAATAGAAAGGGATCATGGGAAACTGTGGAGCACGTGTTAACACAGAGAAATGTAAAAAATGCTCTCTTAATGTCAGTATTAATAGATGCCTCTTTGACTCAAAGGACACTTCTTTTTTTCATATTTCTTTAGTACATTGTAAGCTTTAACGTTTGATTAGAACGTAAGATCTTTATTATGAATATGGTGGCGATGAAGATGATTATTATTATTCTATTATTATTATTCGAAAATGGCCTTGCTTCATTCTCGTCCCCAGAGCCACTCGGCTTAATTTGTAGCGAACACCTCGTTTCAAGACCACGTGACCAAGAAACGACGGGCTCTGGCCGGACGAGAATGGCCTTGCTTCGAATTGCTGAAATACTTGTGAAATTAATCTCACATTGTCCTCAATAGAAACAAATTTTAATGCGTGTATGGGACTGTCTTGTTCTATTAAATAGCTCGTTCGCAGTTTGACCTTGTATGTTTCATTTTGCAGGCAAGCTTTAAGTAAAAAAAAAAAATAGACAAGACCAAAACGTAATAGACACAAAGGTTACAAGGTGAATGAAAGTG